GCGTCTTAAGTGTTGCTTCAAAAGCCTGCCAATACTCTCCAGATTTTCTGCAAAAACTGAAATATTCACAAATAACTTGATTGCCAAGTGTTTTTTCTTTGCAGATTTCAGTGATATTTTTGCGTTTTATTAAAACAATTATTATTCGGTGTGATTAACAGAGCGATGTTTTTTGCATGAAAATATAATATGTAGATTTTTGCAACTTTTCCTTGCTTGCGAATGTTACATTCAGATTAGTCTAGTGAAAAAAAAACTCGTTTGTTTATCCGGGATTGTTTATATTGCTTTCTCTAAAAGAAAAATTATAAAATTTCCGTGTTTGAACCATTTTACCAATAATGAAAAGCTCAAGTATCTTAGACACTCGAAATTTACATTCTTGTTTATTCTAAAGCCTTTTTCTAAACAAAGTAAATGTGATTCTTCATGGCTTTTTTATATACAAACATTATTTTAAGGAATCCCAAAATTGCAGTCAAAATGACTACGGCAGTTTTAACCTTTAATGAAACGACGCGCTCTATTTTTGAAATCTCTAAAATTTGAAAAAACCTGTTACGATTTTTTTCAAAACCCATGTTTCTGATACATATTTTTTCTAGGTTTTTTTACCTCAACGCTCATACACCTTGTACAAAAATCCAATATCCAAACTAATACTCAGTCACTTTCGTTTTAAATACACAGATAAATTGGCATAAAATTGGTAATTTATCCAAAACAACAGCGGGTTGTTTTGCAAAATTCTGTTGACACAAATTGTTTGATAAATCGCTTTTAATAATCTCCATTTAATTTAAGGCGGCACTCGCGCCAAAAATTTGGAAATTTATTATCATCTGTTTTGCAAGCCGATGAAATTTCTAGCTTATTTCAATAGTTCGCATTATTTCGGGCTATATCAGATTTATTTTTAATAATGTCAGTTATTTTCATCTGCATGTGATTTGATGAAGTGTTGACTGAGAAGAATCACCTGCGATACTTCGAACATGACAAAAAACTAAAC